CAAACTACTATTCGCCAAAAGTTATAGGCGGACGACATATCGCATGTTACCCAAAGAGCAAACGACTTGTCATCCAATTTTCTTTTCTTTTTTTTTGGTATCAATATTCAGCTTCTGCCGTGTATGCAAGTGTCTTGCAATTTGAATGCCATTTTTGTAATCAAATCAAAGGATGATTGTAGCAAAACACCAATTTCATAATCCTCACTAATGCGAGATCCATAAAAAATAAATATTGTGCAAGTCATTATTCATGCAAACTCAATTACACTTTGTATTTTACCAAACTTTTTATACTTTGGTCCTTCATTTTTTAAAACTTTTGTTTTGATCTTGAACTTCATTTGTATTATATTTGGTCCCTAATTGCTTGGAGGAGAGAGAAAAAGAGGAGAAAGAGAGGGATTGCAAAGCCCATTTAGACCACTTCGACTATCAAACTCACTTTTTTTGTTTTATTTATTTCTTATCTTTTATAATTTGACTTTTATGAGTTTGGTTTGGATTTTTATGAGTTTTTTATGCATTAAAATTAGTTTTGAAGTTCTAAATGAGTTTATTGATTTTATTTGTGTAATTTTGGATAAAAATGACATTAAATTTTGATTTGGAAGCCGAAAACTACAATTTTTTAATGATTTTTTCAGCAAACTCAAGTTCTTCAAAATTTATGGACGGACGATACATCATTTATTCGGCAACAAGCGAATGATGTGTCGTCCATTGTGTTTCTTTCTCTTGTTTCTTTTAAATTGGTTTGTGTAGGCTCGGTTCTCTAGGCCTAAACATGACGACCAATACCCATCTCAATTTTTTTCTTTCCTTTTTCTTTTCTAGTAATTTATTTGATTTTATTTTTTATTATAAAATTTTAGAAAAATATAATGGAAGATCGATTGTTGTTTTTAAATTTCACGCGTGGCTTGGCAAGAAATTAAAAAGTGAAAATAATAATAATTGTTCTACGTGCGAGGTTTGTGCAGGAGGCAAGGCATGTAGGGCTCGAAAATAAAAATATGTTTTAAGAAGGAAAAACAATATAATTCACATTTTATATAATAAAAAATTATCAAAATTAATTTTATAATGACTTTTATTTACGTCTATTAACTTCAAAATTATTGAATATATTTCCTAGAAGTAACCTATTTTTCATTTTATGTTACGGACTTTGAATCCATTCGGTATAGTCATGGTCAATATATTAAAAAAATGAATTATTTGTTTTATTCGAAATTAACTATGCACCTAAATGTAGAACGCCAACTATTTATTATTTAGTTAATTTTGGATAGTCCGAAATCAATTTCTATAAAAAAAATTAATATTTTAGAAAAACTATATGATGACACCATACTATTCAATTAAAGTTTTTTATGTTGTATTATTTAATAATAATAATAATAATAATAATATAAACATAAAAGAAGAATAAAAACTCATTTTTATTTGCTATTTTTTTATATAATTTTTTCAATTAATTTTACCCGTTCTATTTCACTAATAGCGTAACTAGCCAACAGATTAGTTTTCAATCTATCACCACTTCGACCCTCAAACTCGGTACTACTTTGTTCGTCTTGAAGAGTAGAATCTATTTATGGTGATCACAAATTATGAAACGAGATGATGTAGGTGGTACTGCATCATATAAAGAGAATTAAAATACAATTCTTGTGGTTACGCAAATGTAAGTTGTGCTTGTTAAGTAATTCCAAATGTAAGTTATGCTTTTTATCTAACTCGTTTCTACCAATTCTCTTACGCATTAGGCAACTTTTTTTTTAAAAAAAAAGTAGATTGAAATTCAAGAATATTTTGATTTTTTTTACATTGATTTGATTGTTTATGTATTTTATGTGTATTAAAATAAGTTTTGAGGTTCTAAACAAATTTTTTAACATTATTTTTATGATTTTGAGGTGTTTTTAAACCAAAATCGAGCTAAATTTGTTATTGGAGAGACTAAAGATTAAAAAAATTCATTTTTACATCTACATTTCCAGCAAACTACTATTCATAAAAAATTACAAACAAATGATAAGTCGCTTTTTACCCAAATGACAAGTCGCTCGTCGCCCAAAGAGCAAACGATGTGTCATCCAATTTCTTTCTTTCTTTCTTTTGGTATTAGTATTCATATGTATTGTATACAAGTGTCATGTAATTAGAATGTCATTTTTTTAATCAACTCAAAGGGTGATTGTATCGAAACACCAATTCCATAATCCTCGCCAATGCAAGATCCGTTGAAACAAATATTATGGAAATCATTATTCACACAAATTCAATTACACTCGTAAATTTTACTATTTGAAGTAAGTTTGCCGGACCTTCTACATCTTGGTCCTTCATTTTTCAAAAGCTTTTGTTTTGATCTCGAACTTCATTTATGTTGTATTTTAGTCACTAATTGCTTAGAGGAAAGAGAAAAGAAAGGAGAGGGAGAGGGACAACGAGGTCCATTTTGACCATCAAACTCTTTACTAATTTGTTAGTCTTGAAAAGTAGGATCTATATATGGTGGTTGCGAGCCATAAAATGGACGGACAAGGCAGATTGAAATTTGAAAATATTTTAATTTTTTTTATTTTAATTTGATTTTTTATGTTTTTTTTTTAATGCATTAAAACAAGTTTTGAGGTTCTAAATGAGTTTGTTGGCATTGAGGTGTTTCTAAAAAAGTGGGCTCAATCGGGTTTGAAGAGGCCAAAAATTAAAAATTCATGCTTATAACAACATTTCTAACAAGCTATTTTTCACTAACGTCATGTCGTCTACGACCCAAAGAGAGGATAACATGTCATCCAATTTTTTGTTTTTGTTTTTGTTTTTGTATTAGTATTCGTTGTATTGTGTATACAAGTGCTTTACAAATGGAATTCCATTTTTGTAATCAACCCATGTGGTGATTGTAGCAGAACACCAATTCTAAAATCGTCGATATGTGAGATCCATTGAAGAAAAAAAAACTATGCAAATCACTATTCTTTTAATGTTAGTGCAAACTCAATTACATTGTGTGTTTTACTATTTAAAGTAAGTTTGCTTAATTTTTTTACATTTTGGTCCCTCATTTTTTTTTAAAAAAATTATCTTTATCTCAAACTTCATTTGTGTTGTATTATTATCCCTAATTGCACGAAGGAGGGAGAAACAAAGACAGAGAAAATGAAGGAGAGAGAGAAGGATGGCAATGACCATTATCACCTCCAACGTCAAACTCACTACCGATTTATTCTTCTTGAAAAGTAGAATCTATTTGTGGTGGTCACAAACTATAAAATAGTTGGAGGTAGATCAAGACTTAAAAATATTTTGATTTTTTTATGCGTTTTGTATGTATTAAAATGAGTTTTTAAGATCTAAATGAGTTTGTTGACATTGTTTTTATGATTTTTTTAAGGTGTTTTTGAAAAAAAATGAGGTTGAATTTGGATATGGAAAGGCCAAAAATTAAAAATTTAGTTTTACGGTGACCTTTTCAAGCAAACCACTTGTTCACCAAAATTTACAAATGGACAACACATCGTCCGCAGCCCAAAGATCGGATGATGTGTCGTCCAATTCTTTCTTTTTGGCGGGAAAAGGGGGCTTGTTTGCTCGATCTTGGATCCAAGCCCAAGCCCGCAAGCCTAGAATCGAGCCCAAGTGCTCATGCATGTTCCCTAGTTGTTTTTTTGGGTTGTTTTTCAATAATTGATTTTTTTTAATGGAATTTTGGAAAATTATGGAAGAACGAATATTTTTTTTATTTGTGTTTCTCATGAAGTTTGGTGATGATAAAATATATACAATATGTTTCAAATAATTAGTCTCGGATTTTTTTTATATATTTTTTAATTTATACTACATATTTTCAACCCACTAAGCATAGTCATAATGTATAAAAAAATATTAAATCTTCGGTTATATTAAAAATCAATTATGTATATACACATGTAACACCAACCATTTGCTATTATTATTTTTAATATTATAAAAAAAATTATTTGAAAAAAATATATATTGAAATAATTTTTTTAAAAAATCACCAAATGATTCAAATATAGTTTTTATATACTAATATTATTGATTATTTTGTGAATAATTTTGTAAATTAATACATATATAAATCAAATGCATAAACTTTTAAAAAATAATATTCTCATCAACATTTAGAAATAATTTTTTCATTTGTTAATTTCTATAGAAATCTATACATTAATTATAGCTTTATTTTTTTAATACAATCTTATAAAGAATATATTTTTAAAATATTTTTTTAATTCTAGGTTAATATTTTAGTTTAAATTATTAAAAATATTTATTTAAGAATCAATGCATAAAGAAGAATGAATCATGTTTTTTTCAATAGAAAATTTATAATAAATATAAGAAAAAATTAATTAAATTTTAGATTTTAATTTAAAAATTAAAAAAATTAAAATGATTTTGTTTTATGAAGGGAAGTGCAGATAATCGGCCAGTAAAAAACTAATTTGAAGTTTGATTGGTTATCGTTATGTTTGGATTTGACTTTTTTTTTTTTTTTTTTTTTTTTTCCCCTTAGGCAAAAAAAAAAAGGGCCAACTTCATCATTAACATTCCCAAAGCCGAACAGCCCCTGAGGATTTCTACGAGTGAGTATTAAAGGAAGAAATAAACCCGTGCCCTGCAAGTTGGCCCACCAAGTATCAGCACCGGCCCATCCAATCTCACTGGCCACATAAATCGAAAGAAGAAACAGAACACCAGCGCACCCACTCTGTCTCTCTGTCCCTCTCTGTCGTCCCTGTCCGTTACAGTCGACGAACAAATCCAACGGCATAAAACCCAGCCAAAAAAAGTTCCTTTTCATCTCCATCTCTCAATCTCTAGACTCTCTCTCTTTTATTATCTCTTATCCAAAAAAAAATCCACTAACAAATCAAATACCAACAACCACTTGTTTGGCACACACTAAATAACAACTCTCTCTAAAAAATCAATAGACTTGAGAAGAATTAGAGCAGCTAGCTATGGGTACTGGTTCGTCAAAAGACGCAGACGGCAGCTCGCACGGAAGCGAAGAAAGAGAAGAAAATCTAGACCATGCAGGAGGTCAACTTTATGTTTCTCTTAAAATGGAGAATTATAAACTTAAAGGCGAACTTATCCCTCATGTCTACGGTTCCGTGCCTCTTGTTGGCTCTTGGGATTGTTCTAAAGCTGTAATAATACTAATTAACTGTTTAATATTATTATTATCTTGTTTTAATTTAAATTTAATGCAGTTGCAATTGGTTTCTTAATCTCTCATTTGCTTTTTTTTTTTTTCCTAATTTAGCTTTCCATGGAACGTGAATCGGCCTCAATGTGGGAACTAAGCTTTGTCGTTCCCCCTAATCACGGTAACTAATTCAGTTTTTGTACGTTTCTTTGTTTTCTTCGGAAACTTTTGTTTGGTTGCTGAGAAACTTAGAGAAATGAAAAGGAGTTCTTAGGATTAGTTTATCAATTCAATCAATAATTTGCCTCCATTTCTTGCTTAAAAGGACCAGAAAAATTAATTTTTAAACTCCAATGGAACAGTAAACTATAAGGCACAGGTGCTTATTTTAGTAATTATTTTCTAGCTTTCTTCTTAATTACTTTCTTTTTTATTGGTTTGTTATGTATTGGATATTAGAAACTTTGGATTTCAAGTTCCTGTTGAAGCCAAAGTACAGTAATACCCCTTGTGTGGTTGAGGAGGGTCCAAACCGGCTTCTTACTGGAGGAACATTGCAAGGGGAATCGAGACTTGCAGTATTCAAGAATGGCGATGAGATTCTGGAGTATAGAGTGTTTATCAAAGCGGATAGAGTTTCACCTTTTGATCTTGCGGCCAGTTGGAGAGCTTATCAGGAGAACCTCCAGCCATCAACTGTTCGTGGAATTCCTGATGTCAGCATCAATTCTACACCAATGGCCGGAGTCGAGGTGCATTTCAGCTCATAAATGTTTTGCATAACATGGTATTTCCATTTTTACGAGAATTCATTTTTATAGGGACCAAGAGTGAGAAGAGGAAGTTTTAATTAGTAATATGTTTCTTTATACTCTATTATTTATTTCCACCAGATGATTCCTGAGCTGCAAACATTTTAGTTATCATGAATTTACTAGCTAATTATAGATTGGTAAATTATATACTTTATGGCTCCTCGACCTGTTAGCTAAAGTTTTAGATGTGATGCTCTAACGTATATCATCATTTGTTGTTGTTGTTGTTTCCTCAGCTAGGCTGTTTTTGGGCTATAGCCCATCCACTGTTGTTCTCGTCAAACCAAGTTGATTATAATTGGATAGTACTGTTGTTTGATTGCTATTATTGGTTGCCTATGGGCTAGTCCCTGTTTTTGGGTTCAGTCCATTTGCTGTTTTTGTCATCAAGTACATGTTTTCTTAAGTTTTGTTTTCATATATTTGCATGTGAGGGGGTGGTCATTGAGTAACCACATATTGATTTAAGTGTAAACTTTGCTATTACCGTGTTTATTAGATGGGCTGCTCTACCAGCTAGCTTAAATGACCAAAGTTGGATTCTTAACTTGGTATTGAGCTTGCTGTGGTAATTTTTTATTGTTGTCCTCCAGTTCAAGTTTCTCTAACCAGGCTGCATTATCTTTTCTTTTGTTTTCTTTTTCCCCCTTTCATGAGGTTGTTATATGCTAAAAAAAAACTCTTCCAAGTCAGATTCAGACATTGTTTAAATGATTTGTGATTGCAGCCTTCTGTGCTTAAACAGCGGATTTCCATCATTTTTAACTGGGTGGATTCTAGTTTCATGATACTGTTGATCTAAACATTTGTGCACACTAAAGAAAATATTATTCCCGTGTTTTTACAGAATGGCTCTTCAGCTAGTTTGGAGCTTGATCTTGAACATTATGTTGTCCCAGCTCCATCAACTTCTGCAAACTCCGGTTTGGTGTACGCAGCTAACAACGCAGAGAATCCGAGGTTTTCAAATTTTGATGGCTCAGGCAATGCGTTGTATCCCTTCAAGGATGGTGGTGTTTCTGCTGATCGACCTACTACTATAAAGGTTTATCTTGGTAACCTATCTTGCAGATACACAGATTGATTTTCATCATAGGCCTGCAAATATTTAAATCTTCTTCAATATGAGGATATTCTTTTCAATCTTCTAATGTTTGCCTGCTCATAAATTTTTAAGTCCCTCCAGTACAGAGAGAAATTGGATTGTATCAGCATTGTTGGGCCTGAACTTCAGATTTTATTGTGTGCAATTGCTAGCATAGTTAGGATAATTCCAGTTGGTTGAGGAGCAGTTTGATGCTAATTTTTGAGATAAGACATTTTCATATGCATGGGTGGCTGCCAGATGCCTTGTTTTCTCCTGGTCAGCATATTATTCTAGTTCTAAAGCATTTTGCAAATGTTCAAATAGGACATGGAGGTTGTTATCCCAGATCCATCCAAGGTATATTCTGGTTCCGGTATGGTTGAATCAAAATCAATGGGGACATTTTCCCCTCTACAAAAGCAAGATGGTCACAGGGCGCTCTTTGTTGATAGAGGTGTTGGATCTCCTAGGCTTGTTAAATCATCTAGTTCGAGTGCATTTTCTTTTGATCTCAAACTGGACACTGAAACCAAGGTTTGTGCAGAATATTTCTCACAGTAGGAAAATTGTGCAAGCTAAATTATTTTCTGTATGTCGTGGTGATTTTATATCATGGTTTTATGCCGTGTTTCCTATATTGTCAGAATTCAATGCCAGCAGCTGCTGGAGCTGTTGCAGCTGCAGCTGTGGCTGATCAGATGCTTGGACCAAAGGAAGATAGACATTTGGCAATTGTTCTGGTATTTTCCTGCATAAGTTATTGGTCAGAAACTGGTGATATTATTTAATATCCTTCTAATTCCCTCTCAGTTTAATTGTCAACTGTTCGATATCTACAAATAACATGAGAGTTGGACATTGGAATTAACTGAGTGGTCATGTTATATATGTCAATTTTCATAGTTCAAAAATTAATGCACGAGTACTGTTGATAATTAAAAATTCTAACAAGTGCTTGCACTGTAGGTTGGTTTACCTGCTCGTGGCAAAACTTTTACTGCAGCTAAACTTACAAGATATCTTCGTTGGTTGGGTCATGAAACCAAACACTTCAATGTTGGAAAGGTCAGCCATGCATTCCTTAGGCTTATTACACGTGAAAAGCTGAAGTAAGTGTAATATTTTCCTATCTTCATCTGTAACAGTATCGGCGCCTTAAGCATGGAGCTAATCAGGTATGCGTAAGCCTTTTACATTTGGTTATGCTTTTATAGCTTTCTTTGGTCATATTAGTGGTTTGATGCCTATTTTTTAATTGATGAAGGAATTTGTTCTGCATTGTTTGTTCCCATGAAACAATGATTAATGCTGTACATTTCATAGACATATATACTGGTTTTCTTCTTTGCATGTCTCTGCCTTTTGTTAATTGAAAATTTGTCTCAAGTCCTGTCCATGGAATATCACTGTGGTGCCTCCTACAGTTGTATTTGCTACAGTTTTCCAATATTTAGTCCCGTGTCAACCACGCAACTGAATTTCAATAATCATTTATGTTGAATTCCAACTTTTTAATAATTAATGCTAGTAAAAACTAAAACTTTAATATGTTTCATTATGCGTTTGGCATTCAAATCTGCTTTATTATATTATTTGTCTCTTATCACAGTATAATGTGAAGGAGATTTTAGGATGGGCTGGAAAATTCAGTAGTCATTTGAGATATGCATTTGGAATAGAGATTGATTCAGAAGTGGTTTTAATTCTATTCTTGTACTATGTATTGCAACCATGTTATGCTCTGGAATCAAAACTCTGCATTTTTTTTTTACATTTTTTGATGATTTGTGTATATCCAGTCTGCTGATTTTTTCCGAGCCGACAATCCTGAAGGAATGGAGGCAAGAAATGAGGTAATATCTATTAAATAAGTGTTATATTTCAAGACCACAAAAGCATTGTTTCTCTCATCCCTAGACTGTTTTGTGTTTATTGTGGTATGTTGGACTGATTGAACTTATTATGACAACACTATCTCTGTGAGTGAGTGAATCAATTATTTGGTTGGACCAATTTAATTTATGGTTCAATATATGTGTTGCTGCTCACTTTTTTCTCTGGATATAATGATGGAAGATTTATTGATTTCTAAAGGTTGTAAATTGTAAGACATTAATTTTAAGAAATCTTACAAGTTCCTTGCAATTGTTATCGAACATCTGAATCAAATTGCTTGATTACAGGTATTATTCCTTAGTTGAAGTATCCTTGAGTCATTGAGATCGCAAGATCTTTTTCTTTTGGATTGTCGACTCTGGAAAATTTGTTGGCAAATGTTCACTAATAAAGTGAAATGAATGTAGTCAGTAAAAGGAAAGCAATTACCGACCAGTGAGAATAATGAGTGGAACTGAGTAAGCATCTTGCATTAGCTGACATTTTAGGTGGTTCAGTAATTTGGCCCATGCCCAGATAAAATCCTGGATGAATACAGTAACCCAGACAGTAATTAGTAGTAAAGCCTACCATAAATATTACTGTGTCCCTCAAAATATGCTGTTACTTCTGAACTTTTATTTTCTCTTACATGATTGGGAACGATAACACCATATTAACCTTCTCCTTTGCAAATAGTTTTAATGTATCACGTGCTACTAGGTAGCAGCGCTGGCAATGGATGATATGATTGCCTGGATGAAAGAAGGTGGCCAGGTACTTTATCACTTGTCAGATATTATGAGATTTCTGTGGATCTTCCCTAATCCTCTAGTTTTGTTCTTTTCAATTTCTTTGTAGGTAGGAATATTTGATGCCACAAACAGTAACAGGAAAAGAAGGAATATGCTGATGAAAATGGCTGAAGGAAATTGCAAGGTACTAAGATGCTAATGTGATTTTTTAGGTGAAGAACATCCTTTTGGGATGTGTACTTTTAATGTGTTTTGCCTTGAAGTGAAATGTACTTTGGCTACCTATGTAATTTTTATTTCTTTTTCAAATCTCAGTGTTTCTAGAATATAAATTTCACATATTATTGCCAAGTGTGCTAGTTATTCTGCTACTGAGATTATTCTCCAAGCTTAAGAGTAAGATACTAATTTGGAATCGTTACAGTGCTTAGGTTCGTAAATTGATATTCTATCTCGAATCTTCTTGTATCATGTGTTAACCTAAAATATTTAAACAAAAATAGCTTTTCTGATTATTTTTTTTCACACTTTGGCTGCACAGGTGCTGTCTTAAAAGAAAACTTCCTTATTCTTATTCTTTTGCCTTTTTTTTTTCCTGGATTTTCAAACTACTAAAAGTTCCTCTTAAGAACTTCTGTCACCAGAGAACAAAATTTGACTGGAAGGTGGGATACAACAGAGATATGATGAATAGTCCCGAACTCTTCTGACATGCCTTATCTTGTTTTGCTGCAGATTATTTTTCTGGAGACACTATGCAATGATGAACGCATAATTGAAAGAAATATACGTCTTAAAATTCAACAAAGCCCTGACTATGCAGAACAGTATGGTTACTATCTGAAATCACGGGCTTCTTATCTGAATGGACATGGGTACTTACTACATAACCCTTGGTGTCATTTTGCAGGCCAGATTTCGAAGCTGGATTGCAAGACTTCAAAAGTCGGCTAGCCAATTATGAAAAGGTAATTTCACGTGCTTCTAATACCTTCTCCTTTAGAGATTTCGTCATTTCCCGTGAGCGGTTTCAGCTTTAGTTTTAAAAATTTGCTTTTATTTGCCAGGTTTATGAGCCAGTAGAAGAAGGATCTTATATCAAAATGATTGATATGGTCAGTGGACATGGTGGACAAATACAAGTAAGCATACCTTTTTCTTCCCCGTGCCTCCCACCCCTTCTTCCCCCTTGATTTACTTGTTCTGAGCTTCTTTTTTTTTTTTTTTTCTTTTTAATTGTGAATTCAATTATATGCAGCAGAGGATGTAAATTAATAGTGCCATTTTGGTCTTTGTGGCATCTTGGCTAATTGAACATTTTTCGTGAACCTGTATATATTAAAGGATGTTGTCTTTGAACCCACTATGGTCTGTGATTATTCCATAATACAACTTGGTTTTGTATGTTCAGGTTAACAATATCAGTGGCTACCTTCCTGGGCGAATTGTTTTTTTCTTAGTAAGTTGTCCTGCCATTGATTTGATGCAATTATTTCTTAGCATATTATAGAAATGTTCTGTTGGGCCACTTCTCCATTCTAATTTCTAATTTCTGAAATTCTTGTATCATCTCTGCTAGCGATAGTTATATTAAAGTTTCTGTCAAATCTGAGTTACCATGTTTGTTGAAAATAAATTGCACTCGAGAGAGTATTGTTTGAGAGGTTTTAATACTTCTACATAGAGAAAGAATATAGTCTTTGCTTTATTTGCAAACAGTGACTTTCATAAACATAAAGAAACCAAGATGCCTGAAAATGATCTCGTTCATTCCTTTCACTCAAACCTAGAACTTTTGTTAATTTGATGCAGGTGAATACGCACCTTACTCCACGCCCAATATTACTTACAAGGCACGGAGAGAGTCGGGATAATGTTAGAGGCAGAATTGGTGGTGATACTGTGTTGAGGTATTGGTTTATGATTTATTAATTATCTGGTATACTTCGAATTTGAAGTTGTAAATGTTATATTTTGTCTAATTATCTTTAATCTTGGATGACCTACATCCTATGACATTAATTTCATCTCTCATTGTACTGATATTGTGTTCCACTATATTAGCACAGAAGCCAAACAAATTATTATTTTTTGTAAAGTATGTTGGGGATCATTTTGCTGATATTGTTTTTGGCACCTTTCCCTTCTTTTTGTGAAACTAGCTTTCCTAGAAGGGATATTCTGCAGACCTGAACATGCACCTTTTGAAATTGACCTCTTCAGCAGCCTTAAATGCTTTGCCGAAGTTTGCATCATCCTTCACAGCATCCTTATTGGCTTCTTGCTACTTACAATATTGCAGTGAAGATCAGCATCTTGTTTTTACCCAAATGTGTCTGAATGTAAATTTTTTATTATTAAAAGAGGAGTAAAACTGCTGAACATGGAAGCTGAATGGCTTACATAGTACTCTTGTTAGCAACATGATAATTGATTAGCACCTGAGAGACCAAACACAAATCACTCGATATCTATACATATCCACTGATAATATATATGAATTATGCATGCCTTATATTTATAATTTTTTTTATCTATGTCCTTCTCTAAAACTTGATTCCAGTGCTGATAAATTTTTTTCCTTTAAATATTCTCATCTGTTTTTCAAATTCAATCCAAGGATAAGATTTGTCACAACCTAGAACTAGTCCCACCAATGTCCAAGAGCAATGAGATGTCTTGGTCAATCTTAATTCTCCTTTTGCTCATTAGACTAAAGGGTATTAGCAGCCGTTTCCAGCTGTTGTTCCCCTAAATAATGCCACGTTATTAAGTCTCTCTATCTACAGTTAATTTTTCCATCGCATCTACTGTCAATTGTGGCATTGGTTTTATTTAGGTTTAACTCTCCATTCTGGCATGACTCCCTCAGCTTTTAATCTTTCTTTTTGATGTATTCTACTTTTCTGCAAACTTTGGTTCTTCTTTGAGATTTGATCTACCCTTCTGGGGACTGGATTATGCTGTAATTTGTTTCTGCAGTGATGCTGGAGAAATTTATGCCAAGAAACTTGCTAACTTTGTTGAGAAACGACTGAAATCTGAAAAGGCAGCATCCGTAAGCCTTCATCAATCCTCATGATTAACCTTTTCTATCGTCCAAATGTATTCTGAGTGTATCTTTGAAAGCCAATTTTTTATTTTTTATTTTTTTATTTTTTATTTTTATGTTAGGTGCCCCAGCAAGCTTGTCCTAAATTTTTTCACTTTAGGTGGTGAAGTATTCGAGATCATAAAGATATAAAAGTGGTTTTTTAATAGCATTTACAATTAAGAATGGCCTTTTCTTTTTGTAATGCTCTGACGTTTTCTGTCAATGAGAACATCATGCTTCTAGTTCTTATTTCCACGTTCAGTTTAACAGAATTGCCTACTGTTTTTATCATGCTAGTTGTACTGTCTGGCAACTCATTACAGTTTCTTCACAATTTAACTCCTTTTTTTTTTCTTTGGGAAGTAGGAACAATGATTTCACTTTCAATTATTTATTTTGTTCCTTGGAAGTTTAGCACAAGTTTTTTCAGATCATAAAGATAGAAAGTGGTTTTGTAATAGCTTTAATGTCTAAGATTGGCTTTTTCACATTTTTAATGCTGCGATTTTCTGTGTTGATGAGAACACGCTTCTAGTCCTTATTTCCATGTTCAGTTTAACCTATTTTTGACTATCTGTAACTCATTACAGTTTCTTCACATTTTAGCTGCTCATTTTATTTTTCATTTCCTTTTTTATTTCTTTGCATAGTAGTAACAGTGATTTCACTTATAATTATTATTTTGTTTCTTGGAAGTTCTATCAGCTGAGCGTGTTTAGAATGAGCCATATGAATCCTTATGACCATTTTTCTGATTTTTCTGTGGTCCAGATTTGGACCAGCACACTTCAAAGAACAATTATAACTGCAAGTCCTATCGTTGGATTTCCCAAGGTCAATTTGAACCCCCACAGAACCTTAGTTGTTCGTTCAGAATCTTGATTTCCTTTGGCTGATTTCGTTGGGCGATTGATGAGCATTGAAATTCATTGTAGAAAAACTCACAATTTTGGTCATTTTGATAGATTCAATGGCGTGCCCTTGATGAGATAAATGCTGGAGTATGTGATGGAATGACATACGAAGAGATCAAGAAGAACATGCCTGAGGAGTATGAGTATGTATATTTGCCTCATCCTCTCCCTATCTCTGCTTTGTCTCCCTCCACACTCCCTCCCATACGCTAGCTTTTACCTGAATAACTTCTTTTCTTCTGGTAAACTCCTATGGCAATCGGTTGAGGTTCTCTTTACTTCAAGGTGCACACACGTTTGTATTTTTTCTGTGCTTGGACATTATTAGTTGCTTCCCTGAGGTCTGATGCATGTATCGCTTTTTAGCAGGGCACGCAAGAAGGACAAGCTGAGGTATCGATATCCTCGTGGAGAGTCTTATCTCGATGTCATCCAAAGGTTTGCATTTTGCAGCTTTAACTAGAACCTTAAATATTTCATATTCCTGCTTGTTAGATAAAATCTACTTTCCACATTAATGCAGGCTAGAGCCTGTAATTATTGAACTGGAAAGACAACGGGCTCCTGTTGTAGTCATCTCTCACCAGGTTAGACATTAAACATCTGCATTCTTCAATATCCTGATGCATTGGGATATAAAGCTTTATAATATCGTTAATGGCTTTATTTGTGCAGGCTGTGTTGAGAGCATTGTATGCTTATTTTGCTGATAGGCCTCTAAAAGAAATTCCACATATCGAGGTAATTCGTAATAATTCTGAACTAGCACTGCTTAGGACGAACATGGTTAAGACGCAAAGGGACTAATTAATCTTCTTGGCACATCATATTTGAGCAATGCCCAGTTTTTAGAAGGCTGGTCTGATGCTTGTAATACGATTTGCGGCTTTAGCATGTATTGTTGACAAATTCTAACGGGGTAGTTATATTCAACTTTTAGGTACCGCTTCATACAATAATAGAGATACAAATGGGAGTTACTGGAGTCCAGGAAAAAAGATACAAACTCATGGACTGAAATGCTTACAGAGAATTTGTGACTATTCATACAAAGTTCCTATGTAATTTTACATTAATTTAATTTCCATTCATTAACTTGACATAATGCAAGCGTAAACGCACCAACTCTATCTAGAATGATCACTATTCCAATGATGTTGTAACTTGTAAATAGCTTCCTTTCAATGCTCACAACAAAATTCGAACTGCACTTTATTTGTTATTCTGGATCTCTCGCTGTTTTAGGTGAAAATTCTTGAGCATATTCTAGTAATGCACTTCCTAAATATTTCCCTGTGCCAATTGAGCTTATTATCAAATAGATGAAGCCAATCCCATCATCCAGACACAGTTAAATCAGATAAAAATGCATATTTTATCGGGAAAAAAAATAACAATTTGAGGGAAAAATAGATTAAACTGATAGTTAAGTCTTATTTTACCACAATTTCAATAATTTGAAATAAAATATATCATTAAACCGGGGTAGATAGATGGTACGTATAATGGACTCACTTCCTAGGCTAGGCTAGCTGCTCTGCGTCTCTGCCAACGCCCCCTCTGGCCCTAAATCATTGCCAACGCCCCCTCTGGACTTCTGGCTATTGATTGAGAGCCGTACCAGGATGTTGAGTTTGCTGATTTTTGGATCTGATGTTAGTAGTCCGTCTAAGAGTAGGAGCCTTAGCATGTTACAGGTGATAGGGCATTTACCCCGAGACGGGTCAGAAGTCACGAGCCTATACCCAACGCTAAAATTGATCCCTCTCCCGAATACATGCAGAAAAAAGGGTGGCTCCCAACGGGTAGTGGGGATACAGTAGTGAAAGAGTGGTTGTTGTAACTTGTAAGAGTCAAAAGGCCTTGTCTGGTTAGATTCACATGGAACCCCTGAACAAAAATTTGACCCCAAGACCAATAAGGGCCCTACTGACTCAACCAAAAAGACATTAAAAGAATGGCCTAAATAGAGATGCTAGATCTCTTTTCATCTTGGGATCCCTACCTCCCTACTAAACAATTAAAATAGCCACATGAAGCCAATAACCCCACCCATCTTCTGCCGTCGCCTTCACGAGTCCTCCATTTCGGCTTTTCTTCTCTTCTTTCCTATGCATGAGTCTCATCAGCTCCTTGGATAAAGGGATTCCTTTTGACTTCAAAGTAAATTCTAGACACATAGTCTTGAGTTATTGCTAACTAATACACGCAAAAGTTTTCGGACACATTACCCGTAATCTAATCCTTAATCAACGACTTCATTTACACGTTGAAGTCTTCTTATATATATATATATATATATATAATCCCCACATTGAAATAATAAGTAATAGAAGAAGAAGAAGAAGATTCCATTAGTATCTTATTGTCTACAAAAAAAGATCATTCTATATTGTTCTGTCCCATGTAAGTAAATATATATCCTCAACTTTTCTCTTCTACAAGCATCACACTCTTTAAACCCCAAAAAATACAGCAATGTCAAGTACTATTGAATCACCAAAGCACAATCCAATGAGTCGTCTCATCAACAGCATATCTTCATATGACAGCAACATAATGCTTGCTGCAGTTATATCCCTTCTTTTAGTGATTCTCTTTGTGTTGCTTCTCCACATATATGCCAAGTGGTTCTTGGCACAAGCTCGCCATAGAAGAAGATCAAGTTCTGTGTCTGTGTCTCACGTTCTACGTCCTTCAAGATTCCACCATTTCCATAATTTCACTATGGATACTACTTTCTCTACTGCTCCTTCAAAGGGCCTGGATACATCAGTCATTTCTTCAATTCCATTGTTTGTTTACAAAGCAGAAGAGTGTAAACAAGGTTCAGAGTGTGTCATTTGCTTAAGTCCTTTCGAGGAAAATGAGGTTGGCAGGAGCTTGACAAAGTGTGGTCATGGTTTTCACGTTGAATGTATTGATATGTGGTTGAATTCTCACTCTAATTGTCCAGTTTGTAGAGCTCCTGCTGTGGGTGATGATAATGACGTTGGAAGTGATGTTAAGTCCACGGAGGTCATGAGTACTAGAGAGCCAACAGATGAGAGGGGCTTGAGTGACGGTGGGGACTCTAGATTGGAAATTGTCATTGATATTTCAAATTCTGAGAATGAGAATGGAAATCTTGTGGCAAACCGTGATTGTTTATCAGAATCATCATCTACTTCTTCGTCTCTGGGTTCTTCTTTGAAGAGAATGTTGAGTAGGAATAGATCAGAAAGCAAGGTTTTCCCATCAATTAATGTTACTGAAGTTAATGCGTGAGAGATTGTCTATGTTCATACAAAATGTTCGTATAGATCTTTTGTAAGTTGATATATCATTTTTTATCTGAATCCTCGTTGCTCATTAGGCTATTTAATATTTGGACTGTTTGATTGTCTCATTCTCAAACATTTCTTAAATCTTCCTCTGGGTCAAGAAAACATAATCCATGAATTTTAGCCTTTAGGGGTCAGTTCTAAAATGGTTCACACTTATTGTCAGCTCAAGAAACCAGTAGTTTGATCATTGAAGTGGCGTGGGCAATATCAGTCTATCATCGCAAGGGAAAGAATACTGACTGAGCAGTAGCTAGTCATGGAGCTGCGTGGTTGTATCCTGACACATAATTAATGCTTGGGCTAAATCCGTATTATGTCTGATGAGTCAAAGAAATTGTAAGTCTTATTTCCATCACCAATCAAGACTGTGGGCCTATATGGAGAGGTTAGAGAGGACAAATTCTCTTGTAAAGTCCTCCATGGTTTCTGCTAAGTGTTTTGGCGTATTGCATCAAACAAATTGCTATATGTTCATGCTTGGCCTACCTTTTGTTGGTTTGTGATTACTCAGAAGCCACAAATCCAAGAGGTCAAGGGTTCATGGCTACTGAATGAAACAAAAGGTGTGTATGCTTTTCAGCTTAAATTTGACCCGTTCAGACTTCAGTTCAATTTGTTGTTTTAGTAAGAGACAATGATAACTGCACTGTAATTATTTGTAGCAATGTCTCGCAGGAGGAAGAACAAACAAGAAGAAGAAACCAAGAGAGAGAGAGAGAGAGAGTTACTAATATTTTTTTTTATATCTTGTGTAGATAATTTCATCACATTAGTAATTTTTCTTCCATTTCAGACTTTTGGGCAGCATATGAGTTAGTTGCAGCTTAGCGTTGCATACCAAGGAAATGCAGGTTTAACAAAATTAGACAAAAGTAGTATCAATCCATTAAACACGCAAAGGAAATTGCTAAGCCTTTTCATATATTTTACCTTTTTTTTTTTGTTTTGGTATTTAATTGGATATGGACAGAAAGTACCAACAACCATGCCTGCTACGATTAATTCTACCACCCATCTGTCGCTGGCTAGCTGCAGCTGCAAAAGGATGGATGTCTTAATTTGATGGATATATTTTTATTTATTTTTGTTAATACCCGCGATGGATCTATAAAGATGAGAATTATAAAGAAGAATTATTTCTTATATCTTTGTTTGAATTTAAGCTGCAAGTTTTCTCACTATTATTATTATTATATAATAGGATATTATGAACGTGGTATGATACGGCATTTGACAAACTTCCATGTCAAATAAATGTGATAACAAATGAAATATGATGAATGGATAGTAAATAAAAATGATGAAAATTCCTAGATTCTAGAATAAGTTTTTCTACTAAAATGAATTTAATATTACATGTCTTGTACATGAAAGGGAACAGGAGTTTCAAAAAATAATATATACTTTACATGCCAAACAGGTAAGGGTCTATCGGGGGGAAAAAAAAACTCTATAAATTTTTTATATATCTTAAAATATTTAGGCACTCTTTCAAAAAATTTAAGATAAAACAGGAATTGTTTATATGGAATAAAAAATACAAAATTAGCGGCATTTTAATTGGTATAGCAATTTGCAACCTAAGAATGAATTTGTAAAGGATCTTTATGAAAATTAAATAAATACGAAATATAATAAAAGAAAATGATTTTACCATTGTAACTGGACTAGTCTGAAGTCATTTTTTTCCTTTTCTTTTTCATAAAAGAGAATTTTAAACTTAAAATTTCTTAGATAAGAAGACATTATTGTTAATTGAACTATAAATTCATTGACAATGGAGCATAACTACAACAAACCTTCAACCATAGAGTTACAGTTCCGAGTTAAAACACTTTTTTTTTTTTTTTTTTTTTTGAGGCAATCAGAGAACACTGTGAGACTAAAACATTTTTTTTTAAAAAAAGATTACAGGTAACTTTTAAATATATAACCTTACTGGGCCTGTGGCACCAAACAATGACTTTATCAAAATTGCACGTGGATTTCACTCAATGTTTTGGGCCGAATATTACTTATGCCTGAAGCCCAACTTACCTCTAAGCTTGGAATACTGCAAACTTTCCAATCGTCGGAGGCCGTTTAATCCATTTCTCCTCTGTAACAAAGAATTTAATGTTGGATTAGGATATACTTCTGTTCGGGGTAACTGCTTCAAGCAATTAGAGAGAGAGAGAGAGCTAGAGATCAACTCTTGGTCGAGTGATTGTTAAGAACATGAGCGTCAAATTGTGAGATTCATGTCAGTTCAAGGAAAAATTTTGGGATTCAACTAGGTTATTAGTTGCTCTGTTTATTTAGCAAAGCCAACTTCAATGTGGGATTTTCAGAATTCGTCATGCTTTTTTCCAGCAAGCCTATTGCAGTAGGATTTTCAAGAAAGAAATAGATATGTTAGAAACTAGAATTCTTGGAATTTAAAGATGACCAAACTCACAAATAAGCTGTTTTCCAATGACAGAAAATTTGAGTTTGGATGGAGACTGAATTATCAGTCAAGATCACCTCACTAAGATAAAAAATTAATTAATTTCAAACGTATGCGGAAATATTATGGTATCATACGCGATAGAAAAGGCATAGTAACAGAAAAATGTATCTAGTCATATATGTTTCAATATTCTTCAAAAGCAAAAAAAATGGTAAAGTCTCAGTTTTCTTCTTCTTGGGTACTGTATCTTTCTGTAAATCCTCATTAGACTTAGGTTGAAGAGAGGCTCTGCAGACAAGGCAGCTTGACTGAGTACTTAGCCACTTATCTATACACTCAGGATGATAATCGTGATTACACACTGGCAAGACGTTAACTTTCTCTTCATCTTCGAAAGGACTTAGGATATATTGAACACTCGGTTTTTTATGATAACATCAATAGCAATATTTTTAGTCACAAATATTATTGTCAAGCTGTTTATGATTGCTGGGTCGAGCCCTTGTGAAGGAGCCTCTTGTACGGGTGTCATCGTTGCTGGGGGTACTGGTTGCATTTGAAAGACTGCGATTGCGACAAATCCGTTGTGCACAGAGGAATAAGGCAGTGATTTGTTTACGCTAGAATAGTAACAGAAAGAGTCCTCGGCTGTCTATATGGGAAGCCTGTTGTGTTTAGCTCAAAACTGAAGTGCCCATATGAGAGTGGGGTTTGATGGGAGGCCATAACTCATGCACAGGGGAGTTCTTGCTGGTTGTTCAGCAGCAAGTAATGCGAGAGGATATTTGGGTTGTTAAAAGTTGTGCTAGCAAAACGTTATATATATATATATATATGCACAAAAGAAAAATATATGTGTGTATAATACAATTGGCTTGTTTTTGAAAAACAAGAAAAAAATCTTCATTTACCTTTCTTTTAAAAATTTTTATTATTATTTTTATGACAATTTATTATGACTGTTAAAGAATACAATAATAAACATATGATGTTGTTCTGATTCTTATTTGTTGTGTCAAACACTATAATTGTTATTTTAATGTTTTATTTGATGTTCAAAATCTTGACCCGTAACATGACCTGCTAGATCCATTCTCTAGCAAATTCATTATAGACTTTGAAAACTCTTGGTTTTGTTGGACCCCAAAGTTCTAGACCATGTGGTTGGATTATATGGAGTATTTTGTTTCAAGTTTGATTATGTTATATGCACCAAATTTGAAGTTCTTGGTTAAAATTAACGAGGAGAGTACAGCAATGAACGGTAACGCTGATTTTCTTTTTCTTTTTCTTTTTTTTATTTGTTATTTTTAAATAACGAGGGTCAGTTTCTCATGGGTCCATAATGACAAGTATATCAAGTTTGGATATAATGGATATGGAATTAAAGTATGGTTTTTAAAATAGGTAGCTGGGTAAGCGATGGATGGATGTGCACTTGATTTATTTAAGTACATGCAGTTGGCTGAAGGAGAGGGGTCTCACACGTTGCCATTAATTGGTCATCGGTGGATGTCAACCCATATTCCAATCATCATCGAGTTCTCATTGGTTCAAAGATGTTGTTTAGTGTTAAAAGAGTTATTTTGATTTAATTAAAATTAAAATTTAATTTTCATCATTTACAAATAATTATTCATAATTAATATTTAATAGTAAAAGATTTTGACTAATTTAGTTTAAAAAAATCTAGTGATCGATCAGAAATTAAAAGTATTCATAATTAATATTTAAAAATGATGAATTTAATCTCGATTGATGTAAAAATTAAAAAAAAATTTCGCTTTTGTTGAAAAAAAAAAAAAAAAAAAGCCCTTCTAACACTTTCATCCATTCCATTGCTGCTTTATTATCATGTGTTGTGATGATGCCACCCTAAACAAAGTAGAAAACTTTCATTAAGGCACATTTCGAAATCATCAATAATTCTTTAGAAAACGGTTTAAAAACATGGTCCCGGCGGGGCTCGAACCCGCGACCTTCGGCTCATAAGACCAACGCTCTAACCAACTGAGCTACGGGACCAGTACGCCAAAAGGTTACCAAACATTTCAATTCCGAAAGTTAAACGTCCAAACCGTCTCTCAACTTTTCCCGTCGAGTTCTTTTCTTGTATTTCTCCACTGCATTGCATGAATTCGCGGTCCACTGATAAAAGATAGAAAACAATCCTAGGCCACTCCATTAGCACTAAGATTTTTTATTTTTTGAAAAATCATGCACCTTTCGATGAGGAAAAAGAAAACAATCCTGGGTGTTTCAAGAGTGGGTTTCTGACGTTGCATTCGTTAAGTCTGCACTTTCGCAAATTTTATTCCAATCACTAGGCCATAGCTCAGCCTACGAGCCACCTGAAACAAATAAACCAAGAATGCCACTAAGCTCATAAAATATCACCACCACTTAGCATTAATGCCTCCTTTTCTGCTTTATTATGCAGGGACATGAAATCGGTACGTACAGAACGGGTAGAAACCGGAAGAGTAGCCAAGAGATGCATGAAAGGATTGAAAGTGGTTCTATTTTTTAAAAAATAAAAAATAAAAAAATTATAGTGTCCAAGTAGATTTATTATGTGATCTGTTAATTAACATGTGTGCCTATCTACACATCAAAAGTTCTCCTGCAAGAACAACTACTGTACCACAAATTCGTATACAACATGTACAAGCGTTGATTTCACTGGCCAGTTCATGCTAAAAATAAATTTATGTTAAAAATAAATGACTAATTGGTTTGATAGTATTCTGAATTATGGATGGAATAAAAATTTATATCCAAATTTTTTTAAATTTAAATATTAAAATTATTTTGAATTTTTTTAATTTAAATATTAAAATTATTTTTTTATTCATAATCGAATCGAACAATTCCGTGACAAACATGTAATAATAAATGGATCGAAAAACCCATTTCTAAATTAAATTACCAAACTTTTTTTTCTTTTCTTCTCTCACTCTTAATTTTCTCTCAAAATTGCATGGAACTCAAGTCTAGTCAACCTCAAATTACCCAACCAGCTATCAAATTTAGCATATTAACTTAACATTGCAGTCCATCAAACAACACTTTTATTAGGCATCAGCTTGAGAACTTTTAGTGCTGATTTCAAATGTCTAATTTTAGTATAAATATCCAAAAGAGCATTCTTCACAATTAAATCAATCACAATCCCACTATTCTTAATTATAAATGCACAAATCTGGACGAATCAATATTATTAGTCTGCGCAAACAGAAAGCAAACTACCTAAACTAAACCCATCAACCTCCATTCCCAGAATCATCAAAATGATTCTTTATAACAATCTAATTCTGAATACCCATCGATCACTGAATTACAAGAAATCAAAGTTCTCTCAGATATAAAATCAAACACTTCCCTACCACGCTCAATAAATCCACAAACAACCATAATATTTATGAAACCATTTTGCACGCAAACCTAAGACCGAATCCCAAATGTTTTACCTTACCACAAATAAGAATCAAAACTCATTAGTGATTGAGATTGTTCGACTTAATTACAAACCAAAAAATAATTTTAATATTCAAATTAAAAAATCAAAATTCCAATACCATTTCTTGAGTACCAATTTCTGCTATCAAGCCAAATAACCAAAATGAAATTACAAGAATGTCAGAAAATTTAAGGATTGCATTCCTGGCATAGAGTAGAAGCATGGTATAGAAAGGTTCACATCAACGACGCAAGAGAACAACGGCTAATAACTAGCCTGGCTCGATTTCTTGATAGTTGATACCAAGTGGCCGTACGAATGCCACCACGTTTTCTAAATTATACACGTCGATGTGTAGTTACATGCAAGTGAACTTATACAGCAGAAAATGAGCACTGTTATATAAAAACAGTTTTGATGTTTTTGAAATACGTACATAAATACTCCACCAGTATCATTACTCTAATGTCTAGCCTTTACAAACAAAAGTACAGAAAGAATTTCAAGCCCAAAGAGCAAGGATAGACATTGAAGTAGATCCAAGAGCTAGCGCCATGTACGATGCTTTCTTCAACCATGGAGCAGAACTCATGAGCTTGTTATGGAAAAAATCAACAGCTATGAGATCAACAAGACCCATGTATACAAGTACACCAGAAGATAATGACCCCAGTAATCCTTCCATAATCAAGGCATTGGGGTTATTGTCGTCATAACCAGTCATTGAAAATATGATCATCCCTAACACTATCCCCATTGGTGTAGTCACTGCAAACATAAAACACATGTAGGCCACTGTTCCAAAGCTAAACCCAGCCTGCAATTTGTCACCATTATTTGCATAATCAAATTCATAGCAAAAATGTTCATCAGAATATTTCCACCCTCTCCCATAAAGAATTATGCCCAATTCACGTTGACGTACATGTTCTTACGACAAATTTCGTTTAGAAAAAGAAAAGTTGAAAAAACTGAAACAGCTGGTTGATATCAAGCTTATGGTCAATCGTTCGTGAGGAATGACTCCATTTCGCAAGATTGATTGCCATGTAAAATTCTAAATACTAAATACCATATATATATATATATATATATATATAATGCACCCAACAAACAAGCACGTACATGCCAATAAAACTCCTGCAAGAGATTTGAACTACTACATGATCCAGTACCACGCTTACATTAAATGTGTAAATGAGTACTAGCTTACAAATTTTAATGTAATACAATTAAGCAGGCCATCTACTTCTTCTAAAGAGAAGGAAAAAGTGGTTGAAGGAATGACCGACAGTCGGTTCACAAATGAACGGCATGTCATTCATTCCAAGGTTAGTGCCTAAATTTACAAATCAACCCATTTCAAGCCAACAGATACCTAGAGTACTTGTTTCTCTCTTGATTAGGAAGCTAATAAATTAATCCACTTCACCATACATAATCAAAAACAGAACATAAATTAATTAACTAATATGTACCGTATCAGAGGTTAAAATTAACAAAATAATTAAGAATAATTTACCTGAGCAATGCAGCCACCAAGACCCATCCCTTCAAAAATCTGATGAAAAGCAAGAGCAGCAACAAGAGGTCTAATGGTACACTTATTTTGTGACATCCCCATAGTAACCCCAATTATCACCGAATGAAAAATAATCCCAATCTCCAAAACCTGCGACACCAACCTCTGCTTTACCTTAATTAAATCCACCTCTCCCGTGATCTCCACCTTAACCGACTTGTCAATCCCTTTTTTCCCCTCCGTTTCCTCCTGTGTCCCAACAACCGTGTACTCGCCGTCACGGTTGCCTTGCCCATGTCCATGTTGCTCCACGTGTGAACTTGCCGTTAAATCAACTAACAGAGCTGATAAAACCCCAATTAAAGTAACTAAACCCCCGAAAGGGAAATCTTTCCAAGGATGTTTTGATGCTACTTGGCAATCAGAGAGTGCACTGTAAGCGTCGGGAAGTACGTGGACTAATGAAGTGGAGAGGATAACTCCTGCCGCGAAACACTTGATAATTAGAGTTGCCTTGTCGTAGACAGGTTTGCCTTGGAAATAGCGAGCTAAGAGAACCGGAAAAGAGATGCCAATTATGCTTGTAAAGAAGATTATTAAGATGGAGATTAGTTTTAAGTGGGTTGCCGCTTGTGTGTCTCTGCAGGTTGCGGAGCGGGTTGCGTCAATCACACAAGCTGCTGCCATGGAAAATAAAGGGGTTTTGATTGAGCTCAAGTTTGCTGAGAGAGAGAGAGAGAGAGAGACGGAAGGGCTCTGTTTTGGGTCTTTGCGGATTTTGAAGTGTATAAGACGATTGCGTGTGTGGACTGGAGTGTCCCATGAGAGAAAGAGATGGTTGGCAGTGGGACTAGTTTGTTAAATGAGAGTGGGGTTTGATTGTGTCCATTGATCAACGGTGAACACTGCTAGTAGTGGAATAGTAGCATGGAGCCTTTTTTGTTTTTTTTTTTTTTTTTTCAGGGAAAATAAAAAATAAAAAATCAAGTCATGGAAAATTAGGTTAACATTGTGAATTGCAATGACATATGAGAAATTAATGCTGTCGTTGTGATATTGAACACTCGGCTTGTAGCATTGGCTCTGTGCAATTTGAGTCCAAGTTCTAACCTAGGTGTTGAATTTCTGTATGGTTGAGTGAAAATAATTTTTTTTTTACACAAAAAAAAAAAATTATCAAGGAACTTGAAGTATGAAATGTTTTTGGATGTATCTAAACTCTAAACATCCAAACATCAAGATGTACGATTTTTCAAACTTACGTTATGAATTTTGATCTCGCAGTGATAAGAGTATGAAAAAAGTGTCTGGCTTGCTTAAATAATGGTGTCGAACGTATAGATGGGTTTATGGGGAAAAAAAAGTACCTATTTGTCTGTTCAAAGTATTTCTACAGAAGTGTTTAGGGAAAATAAAAAATAAAAAGAAGAAGAAACAAAAAATTGGTAATCATGACATGAGATGTGTAACGACCAACCAACGTGAGAAAGTTAGGTTAAATCAGCATTTAATTTGGTTGCATGGAACAATACAAGAGAAAAGAGAAATTTTATGATGTTTTATTTACAATAATTATTTCATAAACTTATTTTTTAAAAAATATTATTGATATAAGTAAAGCTAAAACAACGATAGTATTTATATTATTCATGATACAGCTAACTCCCGGTAAGGTAACTCTATGATTTTCTAAGGTAAAACCGCTCCTGATCGATTAGAAACAAAAATAAATAAAAACATAGTTCCAATAAAAGAACCCATGGACCATGTTCCTCTCCAATCTGAGTTTTGCTCACATCTTGAATAAATTCAGTGATTTGTTTGCAGAAATTCTGATCGTCAATCGCAATGGTTTGTGGATTCCGAAAAGTTACAACGGCTAAATCTAATAAAATAACAATTACAACCCAAGAAGCAATAAGTACCCGGGCAAGAACTAGGAAACCGCTTATTTTCCAATAGAAATATTGGCCTACTTCCACATCCGATATTTCATATAACCCTTTTAATGTGTTAATAGAATATGATAGAACATTCATATTTTTCTCTTAAAAAAAAACTTTACAATGAATTATTTTGATTCAACCATTTTTTTTTAATTTAGAGATAGATACATATATATATAAAAATTATATCTAGACTTATTAGAAGAAATAAAAAATTTTTTATGTTAACTCAATGTTTTTAAAATTTTCTCTTTTTATTTTTTATTTTTTATATATATTTATCTCGTTTTATAAAATAATTTATACTAATTATTTCTTGAATATTATAAAATTTATTGAACATAAAGAATAGTGTTAAAAAAAAAAAAAAAAAAAGTACAAAGTAATATCGTGGATTGCTACGGGAATAAATATTATGATGTGGTATCGGGTCTGTCAAGATAGGTGTAGGTAAGTGGAAACTTACACCTTTCTTGAAATGATTGAAGATGCAGGATGCCTCTTTATTATTTTATTTGTTTTAATTATTTTTTTAATTATTTTTTTAATAATTGTATCTCTTTATTATTCTTCATTTGTATCTTAATTTCATCTATTCAGCTAAATTTTTTAATAACTATATCAATTTTTGATAATATACTTGCAAGATACTAACACGTGGATTTTTAAAAACAAATTCTGAAAAAAAATATAAAAAATCTAAAAAAATAAAAAATATTCAAAATGCCTTTTTTTTCTCTGTATTTAAATATAGAAATAAATAATTAATTTCATCCCTCAATTTTATTTTTTGTTGCTTTCTCTCAAATACAAACAAAAAATTTTTTTTTTATGTATATGAAGGAATAGACGCAATTTTTTTTATTTATTTAAGAAATTTATTGTGAAAATTTATTTCAAATCTAAACCCAAAGAAGGATTTATGAAATTTTTTCATGACATGAGAACAAAAGCAAAGAAAGAGAGAGGCATTTTAGGATTTTTTTTATTTTTTTCAGAATTTGAGAGAAAGCTAAAAAAAATTAACAGGTGAAATTAATTATTTATTTTTATACATAAAGGTAGAGAAAAACATAGACATTTTGGATTTTTTTTTTAGATTTTTAATTTTTTATTTCTGAAAAAAAAAACATCATGGTGCTGGCATCCTGTAAGTATGTTGTCAAAAATTGATGCTGTTGTCAAAAAATTTAGTTAGAGGGATAAAATTAAGAAGTAAATTAAGAGTAGAAAGACATAATTATTAAAAAAATTAGCAGAGAGATATGATTAAGATAAATAAAATAGTAGATAAACATCTTAAACCTTTAACCCTTTCTTGAAATATGAATCTCAAAATTTTATTTTTTTATAATTTGATCGAAAATAAAATTTTCTAATAAACTTTGTCATGCTTTATTGGACACTGGTTTAAAAAGAAAAATAAAAAATTGTGGCATGGGATCCTTTAGGATAGGTTATAAGGGCGTCTTAGGTTTGCGGAAATTTACACATTTCTTGAAATATGATTCTCATAAATATATTTGTTAGAAATATAATTATTTGTGTTAGGTTGAAAAATTATATATTTTTAGTAATATATCTTTGAAATATTTTACTCTTAAAAATTATGTTAAAATTCAACAGAATTATTGTTTTATACTCAAAATATCTATTTAATAACCATCACACATCTTTGGAATGAATCTGAATATAAATTTAACTTTTTAATAAAAATACAAATTAACTTGATAAGTATAGAAAATAATAAATATACCAAGGAAATTAGAAGGTGTAGGGTTATGATTTTGAAACTAGTTGTGTTACTATTAATCCGTAAATAAGGGCATAACAGTCCATTGCATCAAGAATGGTTAAATTTTAGTTTTTTTTAAGAAAAATTATTTTTGCACTCTCAAATGCTTGAGAACCTAATCCTTCATATTTCAAAAGGGAATTGCATTCCTAATTTGGTGAAATGTAATATTTTCGAAATTCAACAAAATTTAAGTTGATGCAAAACAAAATCGAGTTTGTTTAGGAATGTAAAATTATTTAGTGGAAGAAATTTTAGATTTCTGTACCAAAAGCAAATGTGATTCCCTGGTATTGAAAGTCAGGATGGCAATTCTATTACAAGAGGGAAAAAAAAAAAAAAAGGATCGCAATTCTATTTATTGTGATACGATAGATGGTAGAATAACGACATTTATTAATTCTCAAAAACTTTCAAAATAAAGAACACAACCATGACTATAGAAAATCTCTCAAAACTCTCAATGATATCAATTTAATGTATGTTTTTGCCATAAAGCTATTACAATCTTTTAAATAGTAAAACTAGAAAACCTTAATAATTCTAGAACACTAATTTTCTAATGACACTAAATTAAATAAAGGATGATTAGTTCTAAAAAATCTCAACAATAAAATAAATATTATAATTAAAATAATTAAAACAAAAACAATGATAAACTTGCTTCGTGTCAGGTTTTCTTTTTTGAGAAAAAACTTGTCCTCAATGATATATATATATATATTCACAGTGGACCCAAAATGATCCACATACGCTTCCGCCGCGTTCCCATCCAAAAGCATATATGGTAGGATATTCAACGATAATAGCTCTAGTACCTACAATTTCTTCACATTTCTTGCGCTCTATTGGTGTCGGCTAAGTATTTGGGAATTCCTGCTTCCAGCTTCAGTCAAAATTTCAGGGGTCCCCCCGAGTTCAATTTTCTATGGCTCCTTTTGGGTCCAAACTTGGTGACATGACAGGTGGACATTGAAGCTATTACTTGGAACAATCACTAACTTTTCTTTAACCATCGTTTTAGTTCTAAACAGAACTCCTATTTTTATTCCTCCCGCATACCGCATCATTTCGTGGCAGTAAGCCGCAAAATTATTTAATTAAGGGATCGAAATATAAATTCTTCCTTCTCTTCACAAGAAACAAATTTTTTTCATAATATTTTAATGTCAAATTTCAAAATTCATAACCTTTTCATTTGAGGCCATGAGCGAATTTTCTGTTTACCTTGTCAAATCCGATCAGACCAACCAAAAACCACCTATCTAGTGCATCGTGAGTTAACAAATAATACAAATCTTGCCCGTATACTTTTAAGAGTCCCTTTAAATCTAAAGTAGCATTCAACATTTGATAACCACCATACAAAATCTTGTAAGGAAAAATCTTCATTAAAGGAGGAATTTCATGCGTAGGTTTGCAGGCATAGATCTAGTGTTGGATCTGCCACGAGATATCTATCTCAGAGCACGCCCCTCTCATCATCTCATAACTTGTTTGCACCTACCATCAAAGTATCAGGACATACACAAATCTCTACGAAACTCATATCGAGTCCTTCAAAGTCAAGATCAAGCCTCCATTAGTGAGGTCTCAACATTATTTTTGAGAGCCGCACATTGTCCCAGATGGGCTGTTCCCTTTGATTCATGCTACTACAGTGGTTGCTACCGACTCCATCAGCCACGCCAAAGTTGGCTTGATACCAAATCACGTGACATATAGCAGGATAATGGAGTTTATTAATTCTCAAAAACCCTAGGAAAAAAAAAAACCGGCTACAATTGTTGCTACGCGATGTCGGACGAAACTCTAAAAAAAATATCTAAATCTAGGTTTACGGATATTCGCATCTCATTTGTGAGTTATTTTAGAGATGCGAGTTATTATTGATTTTAGAATTGTCACCTAATATCGAAGAAATAGGAACTTAAAAATAAACATTA